CCCCAAAACCCCAAAACCCCAAAACCCCATTTGTGTGAGAAAAAATTGAATTAAGTCTAATTTTCAGCTGTTCTGTACTTATTTGTCACATCTTTGAAGACCTCTCGGGAAGTATTCTTCACATAAGACAATTTATCCTCCATATGCTGTCTTTTGTATCTAAACTGATCAATGTCAAGTGCAGGTTTCTTTGTCATAGGTGATGCAGGGCTGAATTTCTTGTAATACTCAACTCTGGATTCAAGAGTTTGAGCATAATCAATTAACTCTGCTTTATCCTTCTCTATCTCCCAAATGTATTGGAGACACTTAGTGTTTTGCTCTCTAAGTTCATCAAGCTCCTTGAATTTTTGCTTTGCTGATCTGTACTTCTATAATACAAATCATGCTACGAAATTTTCTGTATTTCAGGTATTTCATAAGGAACTCTTTGTCCTAATTCTCTTAATGGAAATTGTTGAACTATCTGTTGATTCCGACAAGGCGAAAACATGCATCCAATAGTAAGCCTCACAGCATTTTAGTGAGTAAGCTTTAGCCACCAAAGAGAAAATTTCGTTGATAATTAGCTAAATCTTGGAGAACCTACCGCTAGAACTTTATCTCTGTCCTTGGTCACATCATGAAGGGCTTTTACAACAGAGTTTTCTTCAGGCTCGTTTATTTTCATGATATCTGTACAAACAGTTATTCTCAAGGACCAGCTAATGGGAATCAGAAGGAGAAGAAGGCTTACCTGAGAGCTGTCGTTGGACCTCTTGTGTTCATAAGGACGGCTTATGGGTTTTAGCTGGTTTATTTAGGATTTATACGGGAATTTGAGAAGATTTCAATATTCTCTCTGTCAAGAAGAGTAGAATTTTGAGCTGGAGATGGGTGTTTTAGGTCGTCAAGGTCTACTAAGACTTCAAAGAGACGTAACATTATATCTATAATGGCAATTTGGTTATTTGAGTGAGATTAAGCGAGGCAATTAGCTTGTATAGGATTATTAAAATTACCTTTAGCTGTACAAACAGGAGCTAAGTTGTGCTTCTCAAGAAGCTGATTAATATTAAAAATATTAGAGCCTTCAAATTCAGTGGTATCCATTCGATTCTCTGATTGGGATTCTTCTTTTCTATATTAATGAGCCAAAACTGGATTACTTTTCATTATCTACTTTATTTTCATTCTTCTGAAAGGTATAATCAAAAAGCTCAGATAAATCTGCAGTACGGTTAGCTTGAATATCAGCTGGTTTGACACTAAACTGGTGCTCTAGCCCTCTATTTAGGCCTTAGAGTGTTATAATGCTCTTCCTCTGATTCATCACTTGAAAAGTCAAGATACTCGACCATTTTACACGTAGTATCCTCAACATCGACTTCTAAAGTATTATCCTCTCTAAGACCTGTTTCATTAATAATCTGTGCAAGTATTTTCTCTTGCTTATCATAGCTCTCAGTGTCCATTTTTAAATTTTCAAATTAAATGTTTGTTTATGGGGTTTTGGGGTTTTGGGGTTTTGGGGTTTTGGGGTTTTGGGG